TTTTCCTTGCATTAACAAGGTTATTTTCTTGATATCACAAAAAGGGCAGTTTATTCTTTGCTTTGCAAAGCTGTGAAGAAAGGTGGCCATCACTTTTGTTAAGAAACAAATTAGCACTGAATTTTTTAGCACTTATCTTAAATAGCGGTGGCGTTGAGTTGGTTTGGTTTCACGGTGGGACAGCGTTTACTCATTTGATCACAACGTTTGCCTCAACTAGCCTCAGTTAAGTGAGATTTGGCAAGCTTGTGTGTTAGTTAATAGTTTTAAATCCAACTTCACTGAGGCAAGGTGCATTGGGTAGGAAATATGGGAAGTGCTGAAACAAAGTAATGACCTGGCCTTAAAGTACCTGTTCTTTTCTTACAAAAAGAAATATTTATCTAAAGAGTAGTATCCGAAACAGCATTGCTAAAGCTTCAGCATAAAGTTATAGTATGAATATTATCTAATGTTTTACTTGTTCATTTTCTCATTAATTAATTAATACTTTAGACAGTGACCTCATTTTGAACTTATGGTTGATATATAAAATATAAGGAAAACTCTTCAAAATTAAAAGCAATTGTAAAATCCCCAAAAGCTTCAGGAAACCTTTGAAATTTTGTTCTAGCTCATGTGTGGAGAAATTATATAGCAATGTAATCAGACAGTATGATTATCTAATTGCGGACTGCATCCTGATGCACAAAGAATTGAACAGGCAATCTTAAGTGAGGCTTTTCCAAAATGCAGAGCGCTTCATTTGTAACCCTAATGATCTTCTGATGACTTTCTCTATGTGCATGATTTACTAATTTTAAGAATGGCAAACTGGAGCGAACAGGGACCCCACTGATGGGAGCCACGTTAACGCCCATGCCAGGTCGCCCTCTGTTCAGTAGTTTCAAAGCTGAATCCTCCTAACACATGGAGCTAAGAGAGTCCCTGTTAGCAGCGGCAGGTCACATCCCTGCGGGTGCTCAGCAAAAGTGGTGGAGGAGGCCCTGGCTCGGCGGGTTTCACGTCGTTCTGCTGACAGTGGAGGAATGCCCTGGCCCAGCGCCAGTCCTCCTGCCCCTTTCCCTGTCCCCATCCAGCTGAGCCCTAAGCTCCTCTCCGTCCCACCTCTCTCTCTCTTTGCCTGTTTAGTATTAATGCCTTTCTTTCTGGTTGCTAGATGGATTTCACTTTGCCCCCACGTTTTTTCCCTGATTTCGTACCTCCTGGGCTTTTATTGATTCTGTCCTTTTCTCTTTGTTACATGCAGATCAGGTCAATATTCAAACACTGCATGGGAGCAGAGTCAATCTGTGGTACAGATACTATTTGTACATGTTACTGTTGATGTCTGTTCACGTGTTTAACTTCACTATAGCAAATACATAAACTATTTCATATTATAGGCACCACGAGGCATCCATTTTCAATATTATATCCTATAAACTGGATGATACTTTATATATGTGTAACCGGATGATGCTTTATTTTTTTATGTATATTTCATAGGAGCATAGGATAACTCAGGGGCAAAGGGAGCTCAGGAGGTCTCCAGCCCAACCTCCTGCTTAAAGCAACTATGGGGTCAGACCAGGCTTCTCAGGGCTTTATCCAGTCAGATCTTGAAAACCTCCAAGGATGGAGACTGCACAACCTCTGGGCGACCTCCTCCACTGCTGAGCTATCCTCATGGGAAAAAAAGATTTCTCCTCTTATCAAGTCAAAATCTCTTTTGTTTCAGTTTTTGTTCATTTCTTGTTCCTCCTGCCATGCATTGCTGTAAAAAGCCCTGGCTCCAACTCCTCAATAACCTCCCACAGGGACTGGGGCTGCTTTTAGGTCCCCCTGGAGCCATCTTTTCTCAAGGCTGAACAAGCCCAGCTCCCTCAGCCTCTCCTCACAGAGCAAGTGCTCCAGCCCTGACCATCTTTGGTGGTCTCCACTGAACTTGCTTCAATCTTTCAAACTCTTCTATTGGAGGGCCCAAAACTGGATGCCCTATTCTAGATGTAATCTAGTGAGTGCTGAGTAGAGGAGGAGAATTCCTTCCCTTACTCTACTGGTTGTGCTCTTGTTAGCACAGCCCAGGATGCTGTTGGCCATCCCAGCTACCAGGGCCCACTGCTGGCTCAGGCTCAACTCACTGCACACCAGGACCCCCAGGGTCTCCTCAGCTGAGCTGTTCCCCAGGCAGTCAGGCCCAGCCTGGATTGCTGACAGGGGCCCTCCCTTCCCAGGTCGGTAAAGCTCGCGTTGGCACTTTCCTTCAACCTGCCATGGCCCCTCTGAATGGCAGCCCTGCCCTCAGGGAGGACTCTTCCCCCTAGTTTGTTATCTGCAAACCTGGTGAGTGCCCTGCATCACCTTCTCTGAGTCATTGATGAAGATGTTAAACAGGACAGATCTCAGGACAGAGCCCAGCAGCACTCCACTTGTTACTGTCCTCCAAGAGGAGTACAAAGCATTAACCATGCATGTCTGAGCCCAATTGTCCAACCAGCTTTTTGGCCATCTACTTGTCCACCAACCAGGCTATCATGCCCTAGCATGGATATGAGAATATTGTGGGAGACACTGTTGGAGGCAAGTCAGGGTAAATGACATCCACTGCTCTGTCCTCATTCACAAATCCAGTCACTTTATCATAGAAGACAATCAGGTTGGTCAGATATGATTTCCCCTTGGTAAATCCAAGTGCTGTTCCCAACCACCTTCTTCCCACAGGCAGGAATGGGTTGAATTAACGCATGCCATCCCTGCCTTGATCCTCATCCACTGCTGGTTGCTCTCCTCCTTCCTGACCCCTGCTGCTAAGCACAGAGTTCTGGGAGACCTTGTTGATGAAGGCTGAGGCAAAGACATCACTGACTCACCCCAGCCTTATCCGTATCTGCTTCCACCTCCTGTGCGGCCTTTTTGCACTGCAGCTCAGTTGCAAACTCCCTGTTTAGCTACACTGGTGTCCTGATAAGTGTGCTTGTCTTCCTGAATATCAGCATGGACAGTCTTGTATGTGTAAGAGGTTGTTTTCACAGATATGATGGCTTTCCCAAGCTCCTTGTGTTTCCAAGCTGCCTCCCATGGGATCCCACTTACCAGCTCTGGATAAGCCAAAGTCAGCTCACCTAAAGCCTAGGGTCTGTGCTCTGGTACTTGCCTTCCTCAGTCCCCCACAAGATCTTGAGCTTCACTATTTCACAGTCGCTACAGCCAAGCCTGCCACCAAGTATCACATCCCCAGCCACTTCTTCCTTATTTCTCAATAACAGATCCAGCTGTGCATGACACTGGTTGGCCCATCTGGTGCCAGAAGCTATTCTTGACACCCTCCAGAAATCCTCTGGATTGCTTGCGTCCTGCCACTTTGTTCCCCAGCAGGTGTCAGGGAAGCTAAAGTCTCCCATAAAAAGCAGGGCCGGTGGTCCAGATACTTCCTTGAGTTGTTTAAAGACGTTGTTGTGAGGAGCGTTGCCCACTTCCTCACCCCAGTCGTGCTGTCTGTAGGCCAGTCCCACCCTGATGTCACCCTCACTGACCTCTCCTCTGATCCTGACCCACAAGCGCTCACTCAGCCCTGTTGTCCAACCTGTACAAGAGCTCCCCACATTTGAGCTGCTGCTTCACACAGAGAGATGCTCTCCTCCTTATCTTGCCTGTCTCTCTTTCTGAAGAGCCTGTGTCCACCAATTGCAGCATTATAGCCTTGTGAGCTATCCCACCACATTTCAGTTATTCCTACAATGTCATAGTTCTATGACCTATATATACTTATGTGTGTAAGATAAATTTTGTTTTTGTGTACTTTGTTATGAAGTTTTCTACCTGTTTTCAAAAGAACAAAGTCTATATGATCCTGAAAATATTCTGATTGTTGTGTGTCAATTAAATAGAGACTGGTTCATGCTCAAAGTATAGCCTCCATAGAGGGCAACCTCACAGACAATTTTATTAAGTGGGATTGTACCTTTACATTCACTGCTTACTGTGGTGAGATAAATAATATAAAATTCTCTACCACTTCAGGCTATTTCACTTAATATTTGTGAAATTTATTATTAAAAAATTCTTGTCTTTGCTTCCTGGAAGAAGACTCCTCGGCAGCCAGAATCCTGAAGAGTCTTTGTGTGAAGCTGACTGTGGAAATGGAATATAATGGAGGGCCCATGTTGTGATGGGAAAATAGAATGACTCAGTATAAAATAGATTGGACTAAGCAGATGGGCTCAATTTTCCTTTTCATAGTTGTGACTTTAGCATAGCTCAGAAGGACAGAGTAATTCTAGAGTTCCCCTATTGAAATGATGGCTCAGCTCAAAATAGCCTGTTTATATTCTGAAGTCCTCCTCCATTAATGCATATTGCCTCTGTTATTTGAAATTATTTTAATTATATTTCACACTTGTCTGTTTCCTATTTGATCTCTTCTCTCCCCATGAAAATACAGCACATGTATGTACAATACGTTGCATTTAAAATAATGTTTGCATTGGTGTGTTTAACAGGGAACATTCGATCTTTGTACTTTAGTTTGCATTATAAGGGATATTTTTACTTTCTCGTTACATTAAGTAGCGCTAAAGAAAAGAAGAGTCATATAGAGAAAATAAATTAAACCAAATGAACATATGGATCAGAAAGAACGCCATGCACTGCTTGAAATGACATTAAGGTTAGTTTTTGGATGAGAGGATGTACTCTGTAAGAAAGGGCTGCAGGACTTCATTCAGAGAATTAGCATTTGCTTTTCACAAACCGTATGTGGGTACAGCTTGTACAGAGCAAGGCAGTTTGGATCAAGCCCACCCAAGTGAAACAACGATTAATCTTTGTACACTGGTCCTCTCTGTGGGAAGTGTGGGAAGTAAAGAAAGACTCCTCAGAGAAGACAGCCCATTTCCTGAAGTTTGCCACCTAAGGGAGCCCAAACAGAATGGAGAATGGTGACTAATATGGTGACAACTGGCCCTGCTTGCAGGTTTAGTTGTTGATTTAACTATGTGTAAACCAGGTAAGAAGCGAGTATGGGATGGGAAGGGTTGTTTGAAGAGCAGAAGAAAAGAGGAGGAGAGCTGGGTGGAGGCTGGTGGGAATGGGCATGGCAGGAGGTGCCGGGTACAATCATCGCCCCATGGGGACCTCTTCTACCAGGTCACCCTCGCTCTTGTGCTGGTGGGGGCTGGCGTCAGACAGGCAGAGATGGCAGCACAACCTCTGGGCTTAGGCTGTCCCTTCTTTGGCAGGAGCAGGACCCCACAGCCAGTGCTCTGTCACGCTACCTCCAGGTATGCACTGGGCTCTCAGAGCAGGTACTACCAGCTGCCTGATAGCTGCTGTGGTACTCAGCGTGGGCAGCTGAGTGAGCAGGGGTGGCTGCAGTACCGGTCAAAGAGGCATGGTAAAAGCTCTTAGTGCAAATCATCAGGGAAGGAACAGGAGCTCACGGAAGAGAAAGTGTTTCTTTGTGTAGATACAGGGAGTCAAACTCCCAGACAACGGGATCACCTTTGGCAACAGCAGAAATCTCTATGGTTGAATAACAACAGAATAGCCCATGGCATTGGAGAGGAACTGTGCTTATGCCTGTGTGACACACCAGCCTGTGAGCCTCTCCTCCTGGTATCCACAAGCAAATGCCCTTCCAGATTCACTGCAGTGGGTGGGGGAATCAAGCCTGGAAAGGTTTGGGAGGGACAACTTGCATTGGAGTCTCTGAGAGGGGCAGGTCCGTAGGTTCGTCATGCATCAGGTATCTCACGTCCATGCACGGCTCAGGGTCTGCATGCTTGTATGTGTCTAGCCAGGACAGCAGTGTAAGATCACAGAACAGCACCACTGAGGTCAGCCAGGCATCTTCTTTTTCTTTGGAGAGAGGAGGTGATAATCCCTGCAGGTGAGGATGGCAGAGATTAAGAGGAGGTGAGGTACAGTGATGCAGCTCAGAGTGCAGAACATATAGGTGCTTCAGCAGGTTACGCTCTGTGAGAAAGCCAGTGGCACGTACACGGAGGACTGCCAGATACAAACCCCTCATCCTCTTTACCTGTTCTCTCCCCTAACAGGACAGGCTGGTGGCTGCTAGGCTGCTGATTTATGTGGTTCAGATGAGAGGGTAAAGGTGAGAGATAAAATTAGATTTTTTTTTTTGTTTAAATCCTCTTTCTTAACTGGTTTACTTTACATCTTGACTTTTCTACTTCTGTTTACTGTAAGAACACACCTACTGAGAAAAGAAAGTCATAAAAATACTTTGCCTGCCTGAATCCATTCCTCAGTTTGATAATTCAACACTGAAGTATGAGCATCATGCTCATCTCCTGCATAGCATATGACAATAAATAAGCACACATACTAACTATGGAGTCAGAGAAGGTTTTATGTGTGTATACATTTAAATGATTCACGTTTATCTAAGAGGAAAGCTTTATTGCTTGCTCTGGAGGTTGTTTGTGACCTCCCCTGGGAAGTCCTGTCATGCAGATGAGTTCAGCTGAGTGAGTTGTCACACTTCAGGCGTTTTGTGCTACCTTATCCCAAATTACAGCAGCCTTGGCTAAAAGAGTTGGTCATGGGAGACACTTTCAAATATCCCTGAGCTTTGAAGATCAGGACTGAGGCTTTGTAGTGGCTACAGCAAGAAATTGATAAGATCCTAGCACGGAGGCAATCGCATGTCACTGTGCAGGTATAAGAAGATGACCGAGACGGCACCCCAGCTAGAGGATCGCTATTTCCTCTTGCATACCTAGAGTTGAGACATTCCTGCCTAGCTGTGTGAAGGCATGGATGACTCCAGCAAGCAATCACCAAGGAGGAAGGAATAAACTTGGAGGCTGCAAGTAGCAGCATATTTTTAGCACTGTTGATGTGATATTAAACAGGACCAAAGCAAGCAGGAAGCACTGAATCCCGGTCTGCCCTCCTTTCTAATCCTGTCACTTAGCTCTCGCCTTACTTGAGTTTATGCTACCTTTTCTTTAATCTAACGCCAGTCATATAAAGACGCTGCTGGAACACTTGAGGTAGGCTTTGGTTGCATCAGTGGGAAAAGCACTATCTTGGAGTGATGTCATCAGCGCATTTTTGGCTGGAGGTTACATGAAACATTACTATGCAATCTCAACAGGGATTCAGAAGAGGAGGGCAGGATGCAATGGTAAAAGAGGCTTTTTAGGAATGGGTAGCAATTGCATATATTAACTTTTTGGGGTGAGGAAAGATATGAGCCCCTGTAACCGCTGGATCAACTGCTGCAACAAAGTCATGCAGGGCAATTCAAATAATTGCATTTTGGGGAGGCAGCAAAGACAGGAGTATTAGTATAGAGAGACAGCCCCTGCTGATGACTTAAAGCCGTTCTGGGAAATGCTTCTAGGCACTGGAACTCTCCTGAATTCAGTTAAATCGAAAGATTGGTCTGTGGCGTGGTATTCGTTTGGTACTTGCCTGAATGGTAACTACATTTAGCTTGAGAGTTAGAATGGGTGAGAGACCATTTCCAGAAATAAGTTTGGATATAGAGACCATTATTGAGAAAAATCATGTGTTTACTTTACTATGAATTCTCAGAAACAGAGCTACTTGACAATGAACAGAATAAAAGGAAAGAAGTGATTAATGAAAGGGAGAAAGAAGGTGGACGTTAACTGAGCTAGACTTTGAGGGCAACAGGCAGACAAGCAATAACATACTTCCATGTTTGCTTTGTATCACCTATGAAATTTATAACATTTCAGTATGTTTTGCCCTATTGCCCTCCCTGGATACACCATTAGATTCTACTTAAAGGCTGATAATTAAAGATTGCTTCTCAAAATAAGTTTCCTAAACGCATTTTAGACATTGAATCTAAAAACCTTAAGCACTAACTTATCCAGGAAAAACAAAGTCTTTCAAAGGAAAATGATTGAAATATCAGGGCATCTGTTTTTCTGCTTGTTTTGAAATAAGGCCGGTGTTGTGGCAGCAATGGTGCAATGACTTCATTGATATTTCTCCAAAAAGTGAATGTATTAACTTGATCAGGGCATTTTATCAAAAGTCTCTCCCAAGGAAGGCAGTGGTTACTTTTTCTCTCTCTTTTAATAAAAAAAAATGTGGTCCTATAATGTACTGTTGACTATTAAAGGAACTCTAAATAATGCATCAAGTCTCTGTCAAGTGATGTTTGGTTTTTGTCATCTCTCCTTGAGGAGAAGATTCCATTGGATGAGGAGAAGTGGGAGTAGGGTGGCTTATTTTTCACTTTTAAAATATATAGTCTGCTGCACTAATGTTAGCAAAGGCAGGCTGAAGAAACGCAACCTGTGTGTGGAGTGAGTTTGCGCTGCAGGCAAATGACAAGGCGCTGGTGAGTACCTACTGCTTCCTAACAGGATGGAAAATGGAGCAATGCCTGGTGGTCCTTAGTTTCTAAGACCGTCCAACACCTTTGATTCCCATTGTTTCTCCTTTAGAGGTGAGCACTACCCTAATTGCCTAGGTTCTTTTGTATCAAGGGAACAGAGCTGCAACTCCTTTTTCCTGCCATAGACAGAATGCAGTTTATGGCAGGAAAAAAGTGTGCTAGCTTATCGACCCACCACATTGCATGCTAAGTGCTGTAGTAGGCAGTCCGCAGCCTTCCCTGCCTTTCCAAGAGTCAAACGCTGTGCCAGTCCAAGTGGCAGGAGACCAGGGAGCATATTCTGGTGTGCCAAGGCAGGGGAGTTACTGTAATGCAGCCCTGCCAATGCCATTGCAGCATATGCAATACTGCGCAGCCAAATCTGCAGGCCAATGTCTGTTCAGAAGTAGAAGGCTTTCCACAATGGTTCTGCATTTTCACAACAAATTTTTGTTCACATCTAATTTTTTAATGTTTATCATGAAACAGATAGCTGAACTATCAGATGTCTTGTCCAGTAGCAAAAACTGTGTCTTATGTTTTGGCAGTGGTCATCCTGTCATCAGATCTATTTGATGATGTTGCTTTAAGACAAGATTGATCTTGATTGAATGTGATGGTCATACAGGAAACCTTTCTGCATTAAATACTTCATTGTTGAGAGTTAATTAGTAGCTTTTTCCAAAGGACTGATGGTGACATGTAGTACATACTGCAAAATACTTTCCGATGGCATTTTTGCTATATTCATCCCTACCTGGTAAGCTTAAAAGGATTAACTAAATATAGATTGAACTAATGAAGATCCATTCTTGAGGAAAAGGGACAAAAGCAGATTTGCTGAATTTAGGTGAAAGATTAATTTTGCTCAACAACTTTTAATTTGTTCAGGATTCTGAAAAGCGGAAAGCAGCAGGCCAAAGATTTTCATTTCTTGAATTGTACACAAATGAATGTGTTCATACTCTAGAACTGACATATTTACAGAAATCCAAAAAACAATTTCACATTTGTCTCTATGAGACAGAAATTGAATGATTACCATTCTGTCTTTGCTGTTTCATGTTTCTTATCTTGATCATGAAGAAAATTTGGAAATCAAACATGGGAAAATTATAGGGATTTTTAAATGCTATGTTTTTAAATGATGTGAAATAAATCTATTTGATTCACTTGAACCTATTAAAATTGAAGATTCTGGAAAGAGCCGTCATTTTTTTTTCCCCTGTTGAATAGATTTAAATTTTTTTCATAGTGGTTCTGGTTCCATACATCTCATAAAAAGTTACTGACAGCACGTTTATCACCATTTTACTGCTGCTTACAAATGTAGCTGTTGATGATGATTTTATATAACAAACATGCTAGAAAAAAATCATCAGATTTTTCAGCCTCAAGCAAGAACTAAGTTATTTAATATCCTTCCTCAGTAAATGCACCTGGAAATACATCCAGATCAAAAGCCAGGCATCAACCGAACCAAATGATAAATCAAACAAAGAGATGGCAATTCTTAGCAAAGCTCCTGAGCCATGACTGTGCTCTGTCTTTCAGTCTGAGACAATAGCAGCAAATGCAAAGTATTTGTATTTGAAATCCCAGCAAAGGACACGATTTGTTTCTCGCTCTGTTTTTCTTTAGCGGATGATGTTTTCACTGATATTGTGAAATTGATCAGTTGAAAATACAGCAGCTTTCATTATAGTTATGTTATTTACAATCTATTAGGTGAACTGACACTGATATTTGCATATAAAAAAAACTTTAATGAAACTGTCAGTGTTTTATTTGTCAGGAGAGGAGTAGCTAAATCTAACAAGAAAGTTTTGGGTTTTTTTTAAAAAGCAAGGTATCCTAGTTTATAGTGTGTTTTTCTGTGAAAGAAAGTGTATGTGCTGA